TGCAGTGTCAGTCAGGGGACCACCACTCATCGCATAGTTATGGTAAGCATTCTTCCTACCCAGATGAAGAACCCAGCACTTATCCCTGTTGAACCTCATCTGATTGCATTGAGCCCATAGGACCAGCCTGTCAAAGTCATTCTGGATCCTTACCCTGTCCTCAGATGTGCCCACATTTCCCCACAGCTTAGTGTCATCTGCAGACTTAATCATTGTGCTTCACACTCCCTCATCCAAGTCATTGATAAAGATGTTAAAGAGCACGGGCCCAAGCACTGATCCCTGGAGGGACACCACTCTTGACGGGCCTCCAGGATGGCCTCTGAGCCAGTTGCCAACCCACTTCACTGTAGACAGATCTAGGCCTGTACCCTCCAACTTAATTGAGAGAATCTCATGGGAAACAGTATCAAAGGCCTTGCTGAAGTCTAGGTAGATGATGTCAAACACATGTCCCATATCCAGCTGGTTAGTTACCTGGTCATAGAAGGACACCAGGTTTGTTAGGCATGACTTCCCCTCAACAAAGGTGTGCTGGTTGTTCCTTAAAACCCCACCAGTTACGAGCTTTTGGTTGATGGCCTCCTTGACAATTTTTTTCAAAGACTTTTCCCAGAACCAAAGTCAAACTGCCTAGTCTATAGTTGGCAGGGTGGTCCCTCTTCCCTTTCTTAAAGATGAGTACCACATTAGCCCTCTTCCAGTCATTCGGGACCACTCCTGAGTTCCATGACTCTTCGAACAGCCTTGCCAGAGGCACTGCTATGAGGTCAGCCAGTTTTTTCAAGACCCTCGGATGCAGGTTATCTGAACCTAAAGACTTGAAAACGTCCAGATGTTCTAAGAGTACTTTAACCTGTTTGAGACTGATTTTTATGTGGACTGCTGTCTTCTCTATATTCTGTGGGCCTCTGGACAGGTGATGAGTTCCTGTCTGATTTCAAGAATACTGATGCAAAGTAAGTATTTAGGAGCTTTGCCTTTTTGCGGGGATCAACTGTGGGCTGCTGCTCTGTATTCAGTAGGGGTCTGACAGTGGAGCTTGATTTTTTATCTTGCTTCCTATGTACCTATAGAAGGACTTTTTGTTGTCTTTTAATTCAGTTGCCACCTTGATCTCTATGCATGCCTGGGTTTGCCTTGTCTCGTACCAGCAGACCCTGGCCATATGAGTGTACTCCTCTCTGGATGCTGCACTGTTTTTCCATTTCATGTACGCTTCTTTTTTCTTTTTGAGAAGTTCTCTAATGTCCCTGTTGATCCAAGTGGGTCTTTTGGCCCCTTTTCCTCTTTTTGACCACATGGGAATGGCCTCTTTTTGAGCGATGAGAATTGCCTCCTTAAGGAAGCACCACCATTCCTGAACTCCCAAATTGTCCAGTTGCTGGTTGCAAAGGGCCTTTCTAACTAGACTCCTGAGTTTACCAAAGTCTGCCCTTCTGAAGTCTAGGACTTCTGTTCAGCTGGCAGAATTCCAAGTCTTTTGGAAGATTGTAAATCTGATCAGATTGTGATCACTGTCACCCAGAGTACCTCCAGTCTTCAGATTGCCTACCATGTCTCCCCCTTTTGTCAGCACTAAATCCAGAGTAGCTTTACCCCTAGTCAGTCCCTCCACAGCCTGTGTCAAGAGCAGGTCATCTATAGCTGCCAAGAAGTTGGCTGACCTGCTGGAACTGGCTGGATGCTCTTCCCAACGGATGTTAGGTAGTTGAAGTCACCCATGACTATCAAGTCTTTAGTGCTGGCTGCCTCAGTCAGTTCCCTGGAGAATGCCTGGTCACTCTCCTCTTCTTGGTAGGGAGGCCTAGAGTAGACTCCTACCATTAGGTCCCCTTCTCCTGATCCCCCTTGTATCTTGACCCAGAGTGTCTCAAGGGGCTTCCCCGTATAATCAAACATGACCTGCAGGGATGGGTATTGCTCTTTCACAAAGAGGACCACCCCTCCACCCTTCTTCCCAACTTGATCCTTCCTGTAGAGTCTATAGCCCTCAATATCCACTACCCAATCACATGTATCATCCCACCAGGACTCTGTCAGCCCAATGAGGTCAAAATCCTCATCTGCCAAAAGGAATGCCAGTTTGTCCTGTTTATTGCCCATGCTTTGGGCGTTCCCATAAAGACAGCTGAGTTCACCCCTAGTCTTCTCAGGTATTTTGTCCCTCTGCAGTTGTCTCAGGGTATTGGTACTCATCTGGATGTCCCCTACATGAATACCCTCCCCTGGGTCTTCTTGGCCAGTGGATTTATGCCCAGTAGTGGAATCTATCCCCAGTCCCTCGGGCTTGCCTAATTTAAAGCCCTCCTCAGCAAGTCGGTGATTCTTTTAGAGAAGAGCTTCTTCCCTCTGCCCATGAGGTGAATACCATCTTTTGCATGCAGACCAGTGCCATTAAACTGGATACTAAGGTCAAGGAATCCAAAACCAACATGGTGGCACCACCTCCGAAGCCTTCACTTGACTTCTTCAATGCAATCCTCCCTCTGGTGACCACAGCCTCTAATTGGGAGGATTGAGGAGAAGACCACTTGTGCTCCTAGTTCCTTGAGCTTTGCCCCCATGGTAGTGTAGTCAATCATGATTCTCCTGAGGTTGTTTCTCACCGTGTTGTTGGTACCCATGTGGACAAGGAGCATAGGGTAGTGGCTTGTAGGGCGGACCAGCTTTGGGATCCTTTCCATTACAGCTTGGATCCTAGCTTCTGGAAGGCAGCAGACCTCTCGAGCAAATGGGGTCTGGACGACAGGTGGCACCTTCTGTTCCTTGCAGCAGGGATTCTCCCACAACAATCACCCTTCATTGCTTCTTCGGTGGTAGCATCTATTCCTGTCTTGTCCTCAGTTTGGAGGATGCAAATGCCTTGTCCGTTGATGGTGTGAGAGCTGTGTAATTGTTGTGTAGGGCTATTGGTGGAACACCTGACGCACATTGTGGCTTTAGGCTGATGTGACCAATCAGCGCTCTGTATCATTAGGGGCATCTTGCTGAATCTCACTCTTGTTCCTGGTCTCTGTGGCATCCTTCACTAGATGCAGGGCCTGGCAGTAAGCATCAACGTCCTCTTTGTGTTCCCTTATGGCTCGCAGTCTGCTCACCTCCTCCTGGAGCTCCCTGACCTGGCTCTCCAGAGTCTCCACCAGTGAACACATCTCACAAGTGGGAGTACCTATACCCCAGCATTCAACTGATGTGCCAGGCAGCCTCCGTAGCCTGGAGTCAAGGGCTCTGTCTGCATGGAGGCTGAGACTATGGACCCCATCCAGGTAGAGATCCCCAAGGTACCAGGAGAAGGAGCTCATTTGAGCCCAACTACCTCCTGCCCATGGCAGGGGACTGGACTTGATGACCTTATAGGTCCCTTCCAGTCCTACTATTCTGTGATTTTATGCTGATTCCTAATGTGCTTAGATACCACATAGTGACACAAGTGCTTGAACTCATGCCTCTGGATTTGTAAAAGGGTGGATTAAACACTCTT